GAGTACGACGACATCCTCTTCGGCCAGAGCTGGAAGTGCGTCTGCGGGAGCCGCGTGACGCAGTACCGCCCGCCGTCCCAGCCGCGCTCTCGGGGACAGCACGGCGGCCGCTCGCGTGGCGATCCAGCTCCAGCAGCTTCCCCAGCCGACGTGAGCAACCCGCTCGAGGCCTTGCTGCGCCCAGGTGCCGCCTCGTCGGCCTCTTCAGGCCCTGTGCCGCCCGAGTTGCTGGCCGCTATGAAGGTGGTGGAGGCCCACGCGCAGGCGGCGGCGGAGCGGGCAGCCAAGCCCGCCAAGGCGCCATCGCCTGACGCTGCACTTCGCCGCGCTTCGGGCGAATGCCGCGATCTTCATCGCCGTCATCAGGCGGCCGTGGACCAAGTTCTTCGCTGCAGGAAAGCGCTCCTGCTGGCCGAGAATCGTGAGAAGGAGGTGGCCCTTCTTTTGGCCGAGGCGGAGGCCGCCAAGCAGAAGGCCGCCGCTGCCGTCGCTGCGCTTGGACCAGTCGCTGGCCCCGCCTCGACGACCGCGCCTGCGGCTACTGCGCCTGCGGCTTCGGCGGAGTCAGGCGACCTCTTCTCCTTGCATTGGGACGATGCGGTGTTCGACGAGGGCGTCCTCTGCGAGCTCGATCCCGACGAGCAGGCCACGTTGGCCGCGCTGAGGAAGGAGCTGCTCGCGGCGAAGGACCTGTTGCAGTCGCACTCGAGCGAGGTCCGCGTGAAGCTCACCGCGGCCAAGCAGCTCGCCGCCATGAGCCGTCAGAGGATGGCCAAGAAGCGGAAGAGCGACGCTGACGGGGCGCCAGCTGGACAGGCCGCTGCCGAGAGCTCCGCGGCCACTCCTCGGGTGCGCTTCGAGGACTCGCCTCCTGCCGCGGGCGCGTCTGCTGGAGCGAGCTCGTCCCCCGACGAGGCTTCGCTGGCAGCCGCTGCAGCCAAACTCAGCCAGGCTAAGTTCGCCGCGGCGCAGCAGGCCGCCGCCGCCACCTCTGCTGCTGGGCCCTCAGCCACGTCGTCAGCGCCTGCAGCGGGCCCAGGCAGTCCCTCCTTGGCGTCGGCGGCCGGCGCTGAGGACAGCGGCCTTTGACGCCAGGCACAGCCAGCGGCGTGGGACGACGCCGCTGGCGCGGCTGCGACGAGGCCCTCTCAGCCGCCCAGTTTTGATCACGTACGCGACGCCAGCTCGGCAGACGCAGTCGCAGCCGACTGCTCGGGGTCAGCCGCTGCTTGCGCAGGCGTTTCCACAAGGGTAACCACTGGTGGCCATGCATCTCACGGGGAGCTCATTGTTGACGGGGTTCAGGTCAACAGAGATGCGCCATCTGACGGGCAGACTCGCAACCTCTTTTTCGCGAACATCACTGCGATGGGGCCGCAGGCTTGGGAGTTCGTGCAGAGGGGTTGCTCGAGCTACGACTACGTTGGCTTCGTCGAGACTCACGTAGGGAATGAGTCCGCACTCAATGAATGGAGCCGCAAGGCTCGCTCAGCTGGTTGGCGTCTTCACGGGAATCTCTCCCGCAGTACTGGGGCTGGCGGAACTGAAGGTGGCGAATGGTGGCTTACGAGGCGACACTTGCACACTCACATGCTGGCTGCAGCTCACTCGAGTCGCGATCTCCGTGCTCCCAGCGCGGCCGCCTCGGACGGTTTCCAGGCCAGCGTGCTGCACATGAAGGGCTACGCCGTGGTGGTCATCGCCTTTTACGCCTTCGCGTCGGTGGGCTGGAGTGGGGCGAACCTTCGCCGCTTCGCTCATCTCGGCGCACTCCTCTCGGCGCTTCAGCTCCCCTGGTTGGTCATGGGCGATTTCAACATCGAGGCCTCGACCCTGGAGCGCACGGGCTTTGTCACCCGCGTCGGCGGCCACATCATCCAGAGCTCGGCCCACTACACGTGCGCAGCTGGCCAGGGAGGATCTCACATTGACTTCGGGCTCGCCTCCTCGTCATGTCTTCCCTACATCCTCACCATGAGCGACATCCAGGCGGTACCATGGAAAACTCACTGTGGCTTGCAGGTTCAACTTCGTGGACGTGGAGAGCAGTTGGTTACGCGGAAGTTGGTGGTTCCTCAGCCCCTGCCCGCTGGTTCGAGACCTTCGCCTCCGCCCACGTCTTCAGCCAAGCGTCAGGACGCTCTTCTTCGTCGAGCGGCTGCTCGGGAACGTCGCGAAGACTTTCTAGGTAAGACCTTTGGTCGCACCTGGGAAGGCGAGCCTCGCACGGACGTGTCCACGGACGTCGCCTCCGACGGCGAGCTCCTCTCCTCCAGCGATGACTCCGAGTCATGGGCTGTCGCAGTTGAGAGTCGAGCCATACGCACAGCCGAGGTTGCAGCGCCCCCCGCGAGGGAGAGAGGCGCTCCCTCGGTTTCTTCATGTACTCCTCACACACGCAGTCTTTCCACTTACGCGACGTCACCGCTGCTGGTCGGTGAGCTTGGCCAGGCCTCGAGCTCAACCCCCACGGGTGCCCCTTCACGGTTATCCACCATGGACGATGCCGATGCTGACCCGTTCGCGGACGTCGACGCGCCCATGCCCATCGACGACGGCTGGCCCGAGCCGCCCGAGTTCGAGCAGGAGGACCCCGAGGTCGGTCAGGATCGCACGCAGGAGAGCTGGGCTGGCGGAGATCTGTCTCGGGGCCTCCCTCACCCTGGGGCGAGGCAACCACAGTCTGGTTCTTCCCGCAGCGACCTGCCCCACCTTGGGC